CGCAGCGGCGGCGGCCAGAGCTCGTCAGCAGCTGTCAGCCGGCTCGGCAGGGTTTCCGCCAAGCCCCCGCCCGCGCGGGTGGCCGCGGAGCCGCTGCGGAGCTTTTCATTTGCGGAGTCGGCGGCGCGCCGGGTATTTGACGGTTTGCGTCATCTGTCAATCAACCGGGCGTTGGCCGGCGACTTCCGGTTGCTTTCATTCATAAAAAACGGGAGCCCGCCTTTGTCTCTTTGAGCGTGTGTGAGGACTTATTGTTCTTCCTCAAGGCCCGCACCGCGCACGCGCCGCCGAGTTCGGGCTGCGGGCCAGGCCGCTTTTGTTCGGGGTTTTTCTTTTTCCTCTCGGCCAAGCCTGCCTTTTCCGGGGAGCTCTCCCCGGCCGGCCGCGCCTTTCAAATGCAAATGCAGCCTTTTGTGTCCTTTGTGTCCGCGGCTGGCGGCTGCAGCGGCCGCGCTCCCGCCGGCCCGGTCTCCCGAGCAGCTGCTCCTCCTCCCCCCGGGCCGGATCAATGAATGAATGGAGACGCTCGCTGGCCTTCGCCCCGGCCGGCTCGCTCCTCTCGCGTCTCCCCCGGTCCAGCCGGCTGCCCGGCCGCGATCGCCGCTCCCCCGCCGCGCCCCTGGCCGCGAGCGCTTACCGTGCCGCCGCCCGAGCGCAGACGCGGCTGCGTGTAGTGTAAGGGCGGCGTCCTGCGGGGCTGCGCTCCCGGGGCTGAGGATCGCGGGTGCCCTGGAGGCTGAGGATCGCGGGGGCTGCGCTCCCGGGGCTGAGGATCGCGGGGGCTGCGCTCCCGGGGCTGAGGATCGCGGGTCGCGGGGGCTGCGGATCCCGGGGCTGAGGATCGCGCCAGCCCCTGGGTGGCTGGCGCCCGCGGTGGAGGGCTGCGCGCTCCCTCCGATCGCGGCGCGGATGGGATCGGCGAGCGCGGGATGATGGCGGAGACTCCGTTACGCTTACTGGTTTTTTTTTTTTTTTTTTTTTACCGCGGAGAGAAAATGTCTGGATGTTCCGTGATAGAATAACCCAAGGGCTCCATACGAAGCCCCGATTGTACCGTGCCAGTTAAGAGAACAAATCCTAAGCATCGAAGACAGATTGGCACACAGGAAACGTAACGAACGCCGCGAACTTAAACATGAAATAAGGGGTTTAGAGCCGCTGTTGTTTGAAAGGGTGATTGAAACTGATAAATACCCAGCTAGAATTTACAAAAGGGGCGGGGGAGAATAAAGCGTCAGCCCTCAAGATCAGAAGAAGGTTTTAAGGTGTTATCATTCATTACTAAGAGACACTAAAAATTGTGAGAGGTTACTGGGAACTGAGTCTGTCCATTAAGCTTGAAAATTGTCTTATACATAGAAGCCTATCAATAAGATATCAGGGATAAACTGAGCAGGAGATAGCAAATAAATTACACATGCAATTAAAATAATTCTCCAAATGAAATTATTTGTTAGTAGTAGTTTTCTCTCTCTTAAAGACAGAGCCTCAATTTATTATTCAAAGTCCTGGGGAATATAATAAAGCAAAAATTATAATTGGAAATAAATTATTAGTGCTGGACAGCAGAAAATTAGGAATAATTTATAGAGGAATTTAATAACTACATTTAGCAAGGACACAAGCCAGAAATGCTATACATAATAGAAAATCCATCTCTCTCTGTATTTGTATAATACATAAGTATATTCATAAATAACAAACATTTTAAATTAATGATGTGGATTAAAATGTTAAAATTGGTTATCCTAGAAATTAAAGAAATTAAGATCACACATAAAGTGAATTAGTGTTTTGTGTAGGAATATCTAAATCAGTTGGCAGCTGCTGCACCATCAGACAGCAGAAAGCTCAGTGCTTTTTAGAGGCAAACTTGATCAGTTGAAAAATCATTTAGGAAATTGTAGCTATCTTTTTCCCGTCTCTTAACAAATACCAGTACCCCATCTTTGCATAAACCTGTTATTCCTTGAATGTGGATAAATTCCCAATAGTGTCTAAATCATGTGTGACCTTCTTTTTATGCCCCAGTCCAATTGTTTAGAATGTTCTGTGAAGAATTTACTTACGTGCCCTCCAGCATAGCAGCCACTAGCTTACAGCAGCCTCTGAATAAGTGACCTGTGGCAAGAGTGACTGAGGAGCTGAATTTTTATTTTGAATTATAGGCATAATTTAAATAGATGCACCGGACAAGTAACCAGTGTATTGAATAGTATCAGTTCAGAATTGGGTTTCATTATACCATCTCCTCAAGCCCAACTTTTTTTGATGGTTAATTGGTGCTAAGAGTCTCACAGACTTCCCTGCCCTGGCTGAATTCCAGCTCTTATCCTCAGATCTTAGCCTCCTGAGAAGCTATGATAATAATAGGCACGAACCATGGGTGCCTGGCTCAAATCTAGCATTTTTGCAGATTTATTAGAGATACAGTTTTTTTTTTAATTTTTTATTGTAAAGATACTATACAGAGGGTTACAGTTACATGAGTGAGGTAATGAATACACTTCCTCTTGAACATTGTTAGCCCCTCCATTGTTTTCCCCCTACCATCCCCTCCCTCCCTCCCTTCCCCGAAGTTCTTTTTTTTTCTTGATTGTGATTAAGTGATTACATAAT